ACTCAGGGACAAAGAGCAAATTGCAATTTGCTCCCTTCAAATGTCATTCTGCACGCAGCGGGAAATTTCGGCCAGAATTGCACAGCAGCTTAAAATCAGGTATAACACCAATGTAAATTGAAATCAGACCGGGTTGCTGGCCCTGTGGTACACCATGATTCTCTGTGCTACTGCTGCAGAAAGCCAGTATTAACCTGTCATTGTTCGAGAGCTCTGTTCCTATAATACAGTTCCTGGTGACAGTGTTCCAGGATACCTTTGCTCCTTGTGCCCAAGTTCTGGATCATCATTACTGTCTGTTCAAAAATCTTCTTTTCCAAGGGAGCCATTTCTGCTCATTGATCAGTGGCCTGGTAAATAACCTGACCTCCTCCAGGAGCCTCTCAATTACTACTGATTGTCGGCCTGTACGTCCTGGAGCTGCTGAAATACACCATTTTATTAGGGTAGCAGGCAGGAGACATGAATGCTTTTAATGCATAGCACCTCACTGTAGTCTGATGGGGTTTATAATTTAACGTTGATTTATAGTATTAACTTACTCATCACAGTTGAGTGTCTTTTATTATGACCTAGTTACTTCCAACTCGACGGATGCTTTTCTGTTTCTACAACTACTAAACTGAACATAAAAAGAAAACTTCACCCAAGACACCTGCATGACTCCAGCATCCTAGACTACAGGGAGCAGGAGGGCAGCTGGCTGTGGGGGCTCTCATCTTCCTAAGGTCGATCATCGATTGTCATTCATTTAAGAGGATGAAAGGGACACATGTGACCAATGTGAGCATTCACAGCAAACAGGACAGATCCCTTGTGTGCTCGACGTGTTTGATGTTGTCTGTCAGCTCAGGAATGCATACCAAATGAGAAACCAAACCAAAGGAAAGGCCTGGGATACATTTACTTGCCTACCATTTCCTGTGAATCCTACTGGTGCCGAGATACATTTGTGGGAGTCGGGAACTTTTGAGAATCGTGGTTTCTTTGCAGAAATTTCTAGACGAATCCCTCTGATCACATTAGCTACTATCAAACGGATATGCTAGATTGGCTTAATGACCTGATCTTGTATGTATCCTGCTGTACCTACTGTCCATTTTGTTCTTCATGTAAACGACACGAGGTTCTTTGGTTCTCCATAGAGGGGCATAATAGCATTGGTGGAACTCAATGGCCCAGCAAAGTCAATCAGTGTGTTTAGCACAGTAAAACCAAAGGAAGAGAGGTACCTGCAGATACACCATGCAGAGCTTGCACAGTTGTACGAGCCTAATGAATTCCAGAATGACATCTGTTCCCGACTTTGCTGTCCCCATGGCACACCTGGGTTCCCTGTGCTAGAGTTTCAGAAAGCCATTACTAACCTGTTGTAACGAACAGTTCTTTCCGGACCCTATGCGGACGACACCGTCCGACGGAGTGGGGAAACACTGGGGAAACGTCATGCAGGAA